TTAATGAACTTAAAACTTCTTGTCTTGGTGCTTGATTCTCTTTGATTTTGATTCTCTCTTCTAACACTGACAAGTATGTTAAGACACAGCTTCTCTTTGATTTTCCCTGATAGAACATTAAAAGTTTAAGTCAAAAGAATGGTGCATTCATGACCCTGTTTCCTCACAAGGAACAACAGTAATGAATACACTCAGGAACCTGTCTCTTCACAAGGAACACAAGTATTGAGTAGCACCATACCTTAGACTTTAAAAGAATGAGAAAGAGCTTAAAATAAAAAAATATCAGAAAGAAAAGATCAAGAGAAGAGAAAGTAGGAGAGCTGTGTTGAGATTGCTTTGTTCAGTTGTTTAGGAAGGGAAAATAATCTATAAGTGATTGAGATGATAAAACCTTGATGAGACATCACTTAGATAGAAATAAGGAGTTTAGTAGTAGAGATTTCGGATTTCTTGAAGGAGCTTGAATTGGATTTGAAAGATTTGCTAAGCCTGTGATGATTAGACTGAAATTTGATCTTGTGTTGACTCTGTGGTATGTGGATTCGAAAGTGTTAATCAATGTGGTATTCCTGATGTCTGGCTGACTTTTTCTGTGTTTTCAAACCTCGATCCTAGGCTTTGTTAAATGTTTGCTTGAGGGCAAGCAAAAGATAAGTCTGGAAGAGTTGATATATCATGGTTTTGGCTGGTTTTTGACCATGATATAAGTCTTTTTTATAGAGTCTTTTTGGTATTTTTTTAGTCCTATAAAGTTTTTGCAGGTCTAGGAACGTTTGGAGCATAACTGTGGATTTTGGTGCCTTTTGGAGCTATGCTGAAGTTGTTGCTGAAAAGACCAAGTCGGAGAGCACTTTGAAGCATGGTGTCGATCGACACCCACTACTTGGTGTCGATCCATACCGGTCGTGGTCGCGAGAAGAGTCTTTAAAACTCTTTTGAAGAATTGCAACTTGGCCTAGAAGTTTCTCACTATTTGCACTTTTGCCCCAGTTCTTGTTTAGACTTGTATTTAGGTTTTCGAAGCCATTGTTAGGCGATCAGCTTGTTTTCATTGAGACTAAGAGAGAGATTAGATTGAGAGCTTTTGGGGAGACAAATCTATACTCTATAGAGAAGAATTTCGAACCCCTTCATCTTTTACTCTATTTCTTAATGCAATGTTATTCAGCCATGATTTGTGTTTCACTTGCTATGTCTGAGTAATCTGCTAGTTAGGTTTTGGGTTATTCAAAGGTTGATAATAAATTGTTAGAACTACAAAACTGGAAGGATAAATCATTTGGTTCTTCATCTAGATTGCTTTAACACTGGTTTTAAGATTGATCACCTAGAAATCAGATCTTAGGTTGTTGAATAGATGTGGAAACATTATTAATCACCAGAACTATCTTAGATGAGCAAAACAACTAATTGCAAAGGAATTTGGATTAGTGATTTTGTGAACGTATCGAACCTGAACTATAATGTTTGTTTAGGTTGTTAGAATTTGCAAAGGAATTTGGAATTCTAGAATTTGATCATAGTTAATCTCTGCGACGGTGATGAGAACATCGACCAATCGTTTGTATCGGAACAAGAAGAGTGGGAACGGGACGTCATACCACCAGAGTGCGGTTCACCAATGACACGTTCTAAGACCAGAAGAATGAGAGAAGGGTTTAATGAAGTCGTGGAGACACAACTGATCAAAATGGATGTGGGAACGCTACTAAACCCTCAACTGTATCCCATTGCACCCGAAGAAGACATATCGGAGGACTTTGCCAAAATGAGCCTCAAGGAACATCAGCCGGCTATAAAACAAGGTATGACCATTTACTTGACAGGAAATGGAGCTCAAAACAACAAGAATCTCACCAATGCCGTATCGGAACGCCAAGATACAACCGGATCAAGACTAAGAGTCGAGAAGACGTCAACGGAGCTAGAAGACACATCAAGCCAAGAACGTGGAGGAAATCTCGAGGAATCACACCAACTTGACTTCAGTGGATATCAGGAAGATGAGAGCTTCAAGGAACTCGGACAATTCAGCTCAAGAATGGACTTAAACCACTACTTGCCAACCAAGGTACATGCGCGCCAAAACCAGGTATTTTCAGTTTATACGATTTGTGCAGGTAAAGAGGCTTGCCTCAGTGGTTCTTAAGCCTTCCAACATGCCATGGCAACATCAGTTCGAGCCCTTAAGGCATCAAGAAAGTCGGCTTAGTTTTATTTCTTTTAGTTTAAGTGAACTTTCCTTTTTATGTATTTTTGCCTTTGTGCGTTTTGCTCTTTTGTGTTTTCTTGTTATGTTGTTTTGCTTTTTATTTTCGGCCTTAGGGCTAGCTGACGAGCTGTTTATAAAGCTCCCCTGCAGCGTTGTTTTTGGTTACCCTACATTATCAATAAAGAGACCGAACTTTCTTCATAAAAGCTTAGCCGCCGCTAGCCTTTGTTCTTACTTATTCTTGCGTGAGGATTCACCAAGTTCTAAGTGTTTGCTGTATCAGAGAGCCTTCCATACTCTTTGTGGTGCTATCGATCCATTGCTTTCACCATTCATTGATCCCTCAAGGGAGAGCGTTAAAGCCAACTTGATAGATCCTATATCGGCTCAAGACTTGTTTAACAAGCCTTGTTCTACCACCGTCCATCCACTAGTCCGTACGAGAGAGCGACATAGCCAGCGTATTGACTCCATCATCCCATCACTTCCTCTCCATATAAGCCTCTCACACCGAGTCTTATATCAGATGGAAGTCGATTGGTTTTACATTAGTGTTTTGAGTTCTATAACGATTTTAATAAATATTCCTTTCAGTCTATAGTATGCGATTTATGTCAACCTGCGAATTTCCCATTGCCTAGCATCTTGTCTCTATTGATTTAAAGAACCTACAATCCTCCCGTGATTTCATTGCTTTCGTTGCTATTTTAGTTTTATTTATTATTGACTGCTTAGCTTTATTTGAATCTAAAATCTGTTGAGTAGTAGCCTTAAGTCCTTGTGGATTCAATCCCTAAGTACTACAGTGATCTCTTAATTTGAGAGAGTAGCTCTAAGGGTTAATTTGAGCATATCAGAACGCAACAAAATTAAGCATCAGTTCCTTACAGGATTCTTCAATGTCCTCGGACTCACTGTCGCTGAAAACAACTAGGGATTTCTTCAAGGCACTTGGACACTCTGCCCTCGTATGACCATTCCCTCAGCATTCTGAGCATTTCAGTTCCTTTATTTTTGTGAGTGGACACTCATTTCTAAAATGACCAAAACCTTCACATTCATGACACTGCATCTCTTTTTTCTTTCCAAAACGATCACCATGAGACCTCTGTCCTCGTTCCGTATCGCTTCGTTGAACTCTCCTGAAGGTTCGATTGTGTCCCTTCTCAACTCTTTTAAGCATCTTGTTGAAATTCCTTGCCATAAAACTCATATTCTCTTCAATGAGTTTCATACAGTCTTTATCCCCTTCTGCTGCAAAGGCTATTCCTTGGTGGACTGTTGGTTCTTTAACCGTTGCTTCCATTTCTTCGGCCTTGAGCATTCCACATAGGCGATCATACTTCATATCGTCAGTATTCATAGAATGCTTGAGAACAGCTTTGTGTGCAGCATACATAGGTGGCAAGCAGCGCAGGAGTTTCTTAACAAGTTTCTTCTCTTTGTACTTTTCCCCCAACACTGATGCTTCGTTTACAATAGTGCTAATTTTTCCAGTGAAGCTTGCAATAGACCCATCCTTACCCATCCTGAGATTTTTGAACTGAGATGCTAAGTGGTATATTCTTGTTCTCCTAACACTTGTATCTCCTTCAAAGTGATTCACAAGTGTATCCCAAGCCTCTTTGGCTGATTCACATCCCTGAATGATTTTGAACTGATCCAGATCTACAGCAGTGAAGATGGTTGACATTGCCTTTGAGTTGAATTTCGAGGCATTTTTATGTGCTTATGTCCACCTCTCTTTAGGTTTAGGTTTCACAGTAATCTTAGGTGGGATAGTCTTATCCTCAGACTTTTCTTCAACCAGAATTGTAGGTGCTTGCCAACCTTCTACAACTGCAGTGCAAGCATCTTCATCTATGCCCCGAATGATGTGTCGCATACGTGCTTTCCAGTGTCCGAAGTACCAGCATCAAAGAGCAAAGGTTTTTGAACTGCAATCAATTCCTTCATAGTATCCATGATTGTAACAAGATCTCAACCTGTTGTTAGATCCACTGATCTCAAGGTGACCTTCTCTGATACCAAATGTAAATTCACAGATTCTAGGAAGGTCTTAACGGTTTGCTATGTGTAACACAAGTCAAGATAATAAACACACTTTATTAAAAATCTCTTGAACAATCCTTACAGATTTGTTCAATTAGAATTACACCCTATTACACAATCCTTAAGACTTGTAATATGACACTGACCGATTCCTAACTACCCACACAGCAACAGCTGTGTTTGCTCAACGAGCTCCTAAACTCTTCTTCCAAGACAAGAGTGTTCTAATCCCCCGTTTTCGGCTACACTAACCTAGTTACTAGAGTAGCATATATATACTCTCTTCGAAAAACCACACTTGCCATGTTTTCGATGCTTTGTATATTAGCTAAGAGCCAAATAAGGCAACTCCAATATCTTCCTTGATGTGCACGTATTCCCTTGTTGTAGTCATCCCTTCTTCGTGCCTTATGTGTTCGACACACTCGCCAGGTGTTCCACGAATCTCCATCTTATGCCCTCCAGTCAAGTAACTCGAGCTGTGATAACAAGCGTCCTTAAATAAAACTCGGTTGGTTCCATGAAAGTGGGAGATCCTCGGTAGGATTTTTTCCCCTAAACTATGTATCTCCATTCTCTGGTAGGATTTGAATGGAAACTGAGAGATGTTGATGAAACCCTAGGAATGTTTTTCAACTCCTCATTCAATCTCTCCTCACCTTCAACACTGAAGGTGGATCTCAAGCAGATTGTTGCAGTCTTTAAATTTTAGAGTCTGGTAGGATGTATGTCAACAAATCTTTATCTTCTTGTCTTCCTCCATAACCCCTCCACTCAAATAACTCGAGCTGTGACGACTAGCATCCCGGAATAAAACTCGGTTGGTTCCATGAAAGTGGGAGATCCTTGGGTTGACATGTATATACCTGTGAAGCAACCACCAATTTGTCATCTTTCTCTTTCTTTTTTTTTGGGAGGGGGGGTTTATACCTAAAAGCTAGAAGAAGAAGAGGATAATTACATAATCAACTAAAATATTTTTTAGTGTTGCAGCATTTCCAAGCAAAAGTATGAACGGTTCAACCCAGTTTGATTCATCTGGACATATTCTTAAATTTACAAATCGAGAGAAGGTGATGGTGCTACAACACACGAGCTGCAATCAAACAAACAAACAATGTAAGTCGAGTGAGTACTATTTGAGAGAGAGAAAGAGAGAGAGAGAGAGAGAGAGAGAGAGAGAGAGAGAGAGAGAGAGAGAGAGAGAGAGGGAGAGACTATTTCATCAGAAAAGAACTCAAGAGTCTTGACCGAGAAAATAGGTCTTAGAAACTTGTCATCACGATATGTATAATCACTAATAGTTGCTGAAACCAGAGGAGGCATATTATCCATCGAGCAATACTCTTTTAAATGATCAATGAAGATAAAGCACTTTAATATTGGGGAATCTATCACCAAGCAGCTGTTGCCATTATCTCCTACATCATTGTCGTCTTGAAATTTTAAATACGCGAAAGAAATTAAAGAAGGCACTTTTACACAATACGTCATCACATTGTCATGCTTGACTCGTTTCACTTACAGAAACTCGAGATTAAGACAGCTAGATAAGAATCTAACTACAGAGTCATCGTCTTTATAGCAAAGGTGAAGACTTTTCAGGGATGGGAAGATAGCCGGAGAAGGAACATCCACGAAAATCTTGTGGGAAAGATTAAATACCACGAGAGATTTGCACAAGTAAAGGCTCTTAGGCAAGTTGACCGGATCTACGGGCCAACAAAGCATGAAGATCATCCACGCCGTGATTAACAGCGTTTGTAACCCACTTTATGACATCAGCATCAGTAGTGCACCGTGGACCTAATTCCATACATCAGCATCAGTAGGGCACCGTGTATTCTTGGTGCCTTGTGCAGTTGCATTGATTTGTCAAGAAACCACCAAACGCTCTTTTTGTTTTCTTCATGACCATCACCATCATCGTCATCCTCACAATCAGCACCAGCACCATCATCATCCTCATTCCCCAACTTCTTCATCATCATCATCATTATCATCATCGAAGTTGCTGTCATTGTACTCGAGTTTACCTAACATCGTCCAGATAGAGAGCCATAGTTTCGACAGAAACATTATGGCTACTGCGTCTTTTATGGGAACAAACGAAAATATCCTCAAAAGTAAATCTTCGGGTAACTCACTAATCATGTCTTCACAAACTCTATCGTCAACACTTCCGCAGGTTTTGGCGGTTTGTGACATCTTTAGATCTTCAAGAGTCACGAGATAGAAGAATAATATTTAACGAAAGCAAAAACTAAACTATTTCCCTATTGCAGTTTGCAAGTAATGGTTTTAAATGGTAACATAATTTAAATAATACAGACCAACCAGATTATGCAGATCAAGCATAACAAATATAAATTGGATTTTAGATTTTAATTATTAATTGTGTGTGAATAGTGCAAAAATGCAGATTGTTTTGCATTACGAGTTTTGATGCATTGATTTTTATTTTCCATTCAAAGCTTTAATTTTATGATCTACATTTAAAATGAAAGCCGTTTATAGAAAACACAAAACATGAATACTTACAGATCTATATTATTGTTACAATATTATTATTTATTTGATGGATATTTATAATATATAATTTGTTTAATATGTATTTGTTATGTTTAATATACATAATCTGATTAATCAATATTTTTTGAATTGTATAACCATTCAAGTCAATAAGAAACAGAGAGGAGTATGTGGAAAAGAAAAAAGAATGAAAAAGATGAGTATTGAAGAAACCTAGATAACTTATGTAATAAATTTTATAGAATTAGACTATATATTAATGTTACTGTTAAATTGTTAATACAATTGTAATGTCTTTACAAACATGTGTTCTTATTTCTATTGTGTTCTTAATAATAAATAAGAAACTTAAAAACAAATATATCTTTTAATAATAAAAATTGATGTTATATGCTTCTAAAGGTATTCATATAGGATTTAAATGATTCAATTTTGTAGGTACATATCATCATCTATAGTTAACTATATATATATATATTCAGATTAATTAATTTTATTTTTATTATTATTAGAAAAATTTCTAAATTTTAATCAATTTTGATTTATATTAAAATTAATTAATTTTTTTTACTGTTATTAGGAAAATATGTAAGTTTTATTTAATTTTGTTTTTGTTATTATTAGAAAAGTTTCTAAAATTTAAGGTAGTTATTAATAATAAACAGTTTAGAAAGTAGAGAAATTAGATCTTATTTTTTTATTAACAAAAAAGTAATTAACATATTAATAAATTATTACAGAAATTATATATATTCAAAAAAATAATTAAAAACTGTTGTTCGGGAGCAAATTTCGGGATGCCACATGATGATCTGATTGGTTGTCGGACCTGCGGGGGAGATTTGAACTCTGGGGGGATGGGTCAGCCTGCAACGAGAGAACAAAGAGAGAGCGTCTCGATGAACAGAAAAGGGGTTGCCCTTCCAATTATACTCTGACGCTCTAGTGATAAAGGACACGTGACTAGACGGAGTGTATAGAGATATCGAAAGAACTAAGACACGGAGCGCTTTATCAACTCGGACAGATATTAATAGAGCTTTTAAGGACTTTAGTTCTCTGGTGAAATGAAGCTAGAAGATCAAGTTATCGCTCTAGAAGTTCTCCTCCCCTCGGTGGCGCGAGTAGTGAGTTTTATAGTGAATACCTGGTTTCGGGTCGAACTCGGGTCTGAATCATTTAGTTCCCCGGGTCGGGTTCCTACTACCGTCCTTTGTCATCGTATTCGACGTGTCTGAACCCTTCCATGCGTGCAGTCAGAGTGGAGGTTGCCGAACTACTCCTCTGGTTATTGCCGTTTGGTAGGTGCAGAGCATTTAATGCTCCTCTGGTTACCGCTGCGTCCAGTGCCCACGCGTTGGGCCTCGTGGGCCGTAATGACATTTTGCAGCCCAAGAGTTGCCCCTGACTGGCGGAGCTCCTTCAGGAGGGGCGAAAGTCTATCATGCATATGAAATCTTTGAAGGGTGAAAGGCCGCAAGGGGCAGGGTTGGACATCATCTTTGCCATAGAGAAAATCTTGTTAAGGTGGTGTAGTCGTTTTATAAGACTCTATTTCCGGATCTTCCTGAGAGGTTATCTCTGGAAAGTAATTCCCAGAGGAAGTTACCTGGAGGGCGTGCCCCGGGAAGCTTTCTCGGAAAGATTATTCCCGGAGGAAGTTTCCCGGAGGGCGTGCCCTTGAAGGCTCTCTTGGAAAGACTATTCCCAGAGGAAGTTACCCGGAGGGTGTGCCCCGGGAAGCTTTCTCGGAAAGACTATTCCCGGAGGAAGTTCCCCGGAGGGCGTGCCCTTGAAGGCTCTCTTGGAAAGACTATTCCCAGATGAAGTTCCCCGGAGGGCGTGCCCCTGAACGCTGTCTTGGAAAGACTATTCCCGGAGGCTGTTTTGGAAAGACTATTCCTGGAGGAAGTACTCCGGAGGGTGTCCTGCCGGATGCTGTCTCAGAAAGGCTAATCCCAGAGAAAGTTTCCCGGAGGCCGTGCCCCTAGAGGCTGTCTCAGAAAGACTGTTCCCGAATGAATTTCCTTGGAGGGTGTGCTCCTGGAGGCTATCTCAGAAAGACTGTTCGCAGAGGAAGTTCTCCGGAGGGCGTGCCCGTAGAGGATGTCTCGGAAAGACTGTTCCCAAAGAAAGTTCCCCGAAGAGCATGCCCCTGGAGGCACGGAAAGACTGTTCCCGGAGGGCGTGCCCCTGGAGGCTGTCTCGGAAAAACTATTCTCCAAGAAAGTTCTCTAGAGGGCGTGCCCCTGGAGGCTGTCTCGGAAAGACTGTTCCCGGAGGAGGTTCTCTGGAGGGCGTGCCCCTTGAGGCTGTCTCGGAAAGACTATTCCCGGAAGAAATTCCCTGCAGGGCGCGCCCTTGGAGGCTGTCTCCGAAAGACTATTCCCGGAAGAAGTTCCCTGGAGAGCGCGCCCCTGGAGGCTGTCTTGGAAAGACTATTCCTGGAGGAAGTTCCACAGAGGACGTGTCCCTGGAGGCTATGTTGGAAAGACTGTTCCTGGAGGAAGTTTTCCATAAGGTGTGCAATCTGGTTTCTTAGACCAAGACCCTGAATTGCTGGGTTCTGGGCCCCACCCCAACCGATACGCCATATGTGGGTCCAAGTATGCGGTTGAGGTGTCGTACAGCGAACGTCTGCCTTTATGAAGGGGAAGGATTTTTTGCATATTGGTCCTTGGATTTTCTTATCTTTCTTTAGCGGGCCACCTTGATTCTCACAAATGGTCTGCCTTTTTTCCTTGGACTACGCGTTTGCTTTTGGCCCCTTCCTCTTATGTGTTGTCAATTATCCTCTTTCACGAGCCGCTTTCTTCGTCGTGTCGATTCTGCGAATTTCTTTTTCTCTTCCTTTTAGTAAGATCCATTTTTCTTCGATTCTTTAGTTGGTTTATGCCGTGAATGTCTATGTCGGGTGGAACGAGATCTTCCAGATCCGAATGCTCCTATCTTCCTGTCGATCGTCGAGATGAACCACTGCATCTTGGGTATGGGGTCGATGATCCCATCCCATTGTCTTCTGTGTATCCTTGCAACGAGATGTACGGCAAATGTCCTTCTGAGACTCCGAGGGGCGGTTCTACTACCAAGAACCCGGCTGCTGATTGGTGAGCCTTGCAGGAGTCACTTCGCCTGCCTAGTTCGATGTCACTGGTTTTTTACCGTTATGCCTCCAATTCTCGACCTCCTCTCGGTTGTATTACACCCTACGCCGGTTACTGGTCAAATGGCCTTCGATGTTACGTGCCGACTGTCTTGGTTTATTTCTGTCCTCTGGGCAGTATTAGCCCTAGCTAGTTGGTTCCGTCGCATGGGGAATTTTGAGTTTGTTTCAGGTTATGAGTGACTTATTTGGGATACCTATCCCCGCCAAGGCCATCAGAGCCTTCTATCATCTTAAGGAAGAGCACCGTGTCTGACCCCTTGCAGTAAACCCTCATTCTGCTATTTCTTTATGCAGCTTTTTAATTGACTAATCAACTATTTCTTTGCAGGATCCTGGGAATCAAGGGATGTTGCTGATTTAGAGAGACGTATTGTAGGGATTCAGTTCGAGTTTTGGAGCTAGTCGTGTATGCTTTCAGAGCGTTGTCTCACCGCCTGCCCTCTTTGCATGCCGGTAGGTTCCCCTTACCTAGGCGCGCATCCCTCGTTCCCTCCGGGTTGACAAGGGTGATGGGTCTGAGATTCTTAGGGAGGGTTCTACCCCGAAGGTGAGCCCTTCCACACCTTCCCGTCTTGGGGGTCACGGACCTGTTTTGGGGGCGAAGGTTCCGGCCTCAGAGGGCTTGGCCATCGTCGTGAATTGGGCCAGCCACCATCGATTCCAGGTAACCAAACTCATCCCCTGCTTTTCGCTTCTGTGCTTAATGATGTTGGTTGGTGATTTCACGATTCCACTTTTTTTGTAGGCCAACATCATGAATGCCCACCTAGCCGCATATGCATCCGTTCTTCACGGCGAGTCTGTTCGAGCCCGCATATCGCTTGATGGGGCTGACGAGGAGGACAAGCCTGTGGAGGACGAGGTGTCAGAGGCAGGTAACGTGCGCGTCAAGATGGAGGAGCTCCGGACTCATGTTTCCGAGGAGAGATAGGGGGCTGCCAAGGCCGAGGATCTCGCCGAAATACTGCGTCTGGAGCTCGACACTCTCATCTCCGCTCGAGAGTTTAGAATAGAGATGCTAACGAGCTGTGCCGCCCTCGCGGCCATTCAGGGGTGCCAGAGGAGCAGTCTAGAGTGTTGGGACGAGGAAAGTCTTCGTGAGGTGTATCAGGCTGCGGCGGAGGAGGCTCGTGCTGCAAAGGCTACGATATTCATTTTAGAGGTCGTGGCCATGTCCCTTACCCCGTTTCTTTGCGCGGCTGCCCTGGCCAAGACTGGCGCTGCTGGTATTTTTCATGTGTGTTACAAGAACTTATACCCTGCGCTGATTAAAAGATGATGATTCTTTAAAATTATATATACATCGGTAGCTTAATCGCCAAAATCCTAAAACTCATTCTGTAACGTTTATATCATCAACAATGTTTTTGAATGTAGATATTCATTTGATAATATATGTATTACTGTAGTAGTTGCTCTTCCAACAACGATGAAATAGTAAGTGCATGATTGTCTAATTTCATGTGTCTAGTTAATAGTTAATGAATATATGTTTCTTATTGACATTCTAAACACTAT